TATATATATATCCCCATTAATTCATATAATTCCCTCCACCTGTAAACGCCATTTAATTATGAATAACCCTGTGTATATGCATATACATTAGTGCTTTATGCTGTATTACATAACCATAAATTATCAAAGCGCTCAAAATAACATTTTCCACTTATTTTGACCTAAATTAATACAAAATAATGAAAAAATATGTTTAATAAAAATTCTCCGTCAAACTCCCGAATATTTTCCCAAATTTTTACCTCCAGTGGAATAAAACTTAAGGAGGAAGAGCCTTTTGGAACTCATCCCATTCCATCGAACAGTCAGAAGATAAAGTAAGAAAAAAATGACTCTTACTCAAAAACTAAATCATCGATGGTATTAAAATTTCGTATACTTCCAAGATTTGAGAATTGAGTTACAAAAGGAATTTTTGATCACCTTATTTTACAGGGCAATAAATTGTATAATTTATACTAAAATTGTGTTTTACCTTCCCATATAACTCTGCCGAAACTTCAAATTTAAATTATATCTTAACTGTTACAAAGATACGATGCAATTAATTGTGAAATTAATTTCTGAATAAAATGATTTACAATTTTTTAAAGAGAAACAACTTTTCTATGGTTTTCTACGGATCTGCACGAAAAAGTAATATATGAAATATTGGTGGCATAAAAATAGAGTTTATGTAATCTCGGCTAATTTTAAAAATAATAGAATAATTTAATGTCAAGTTCATATAAATTATATGTAGTCTCGGCTAATTTTTCAAATAATAGATTCCTTCCATATAAAGTTTATGTAGTTGCGGCTAAATTTTCAAATCGAATCATTTCACGTAAAGTTCATACACAATTTATGTAGTCTCGGTTAATTGTCCAAATAACAGATTCATTCCATATAAAGTTTATGTAGTTTCGGCTAAATTTTCAAATAATAGAATCATTTCACGTAAAGTTCATATAAAATTTATGTAGTCTGTGCTAATTTTCCAAATAATAGATTCATTCCACATAAAGTTTATGTAATCTCTGCTAATTTTTCAAATAATAGATTCATTCCACATAAAGTTTATGTAGTCTCGGATAATTTTCCAAATAGTAGATTCATTCCACATAAAGTTTATGTAGTCTCTGCTAATTTTTCAAATAATAGATTCATTCCACATAAAGTTTATGTAGTCTCTGCTAATTTTCCAAATAGTAGATTCATTCCACATAAAGTTTATGTAATCTCTGCTAATTTTTCAAATAATAGATTCATTCCACATAAAGTTTATGTAGTCTCTGCTAATTTTTCAAATAATAGATTCATTTCATATAAAGTTTATCTTAAGTTGTGTTGTAAGAATTTCTTATAAAAATTTCAGAAGATTTTAAGTAAATGATAAGTTTGTGGTTTATTTGAATTTATTTATGTTATTTGAAAACCACTCAATTTTCATCTGCTTTCTTTAAAAATTTCACAAAAAACTCTTGCAACACATTTTAAGATTAACTTGGGTCGACTTCATAGCATCATTTATTGTAAAAGTCTTTTGATTTCTCACTATTTCATTTAAAACTCAAGATCCTTGGAACGATACGGAGGACCTTACAAGACCTTTAATCGTACCTTTTCATGCCTATTACATAGAATTGATGCCTGAAACACAAATAATAGTCTTTTCTAAGCATTTCCGTGTGCGTGATCATAACACATGCAATTGTTTTGAAGAGAAATGAATTCGCTAAAGATTGCTTTATTATAAAAAATATAAAAAAAGTTAATTTTCCTGATATCAAACAATTGCATCATCAACTTCGAAGACACTTAGGATTAACTATTTCCTTAATGTTGCATTGTGATAGAAGTAATATAAGCTTTCCTTTCTTTATCTTTAGTGAGAGACTTTATTACGAAATGATAACGTTAAGATAAATCTACTAAACACATATAAAGCAGGGATCTTTGAAAGTTGAAATTCCAGGAGGGAACTTTTAAAATATAATTTTGCAACTATATATTTTATTTCTTCATTTTATAACCGTTGTTGAACAGCAGACCCCATTGTTTGGGTTTACGACTCCGTAGTTCAACTCCGTAGCCTTAAAACTTTGAATCTAAACTAGAAGACAAGGGAACTCCTGGATCATGTATTGAAAGAAATTTGCTTTCGTGGAGGACTTTTTAGATGGAACTAACCCGCATTTGCGTTACATGGAGAGGGAAACCACGAAAACCTCCCACAGTTAGAATGACGGCATGGGGATTCTGATCCATGATCCGTCTACTACTGAAGATATTATACGTCAGCACTATGGTCGGTGCAAGCCGGATGCGGAGTCCGTTTTGACAAGCCATTGCTGGGATTCAAGATTATAATTAAGTTCAGTATTGATAAAACTAAAGGCTACTAGCATTAATTTAGTTAAGCGATTAACTAACTATGTAAAGAATTGTTTTCTTTCTAATATTAAAAAAAAAATATGACAACAAAACAAAACTCTGTAAAAATTGCACCTTCTGTGTAATAAATTTCTGGATCAATATTCTCTAATAAGAAATTTCATTAAAATGAGGAATGCTCATATCACCTCCAACTCATATTT